ATTTAATATCAGTTATTATAATTTAGTTATCATTTACCATTTAATTCTTATTGTAATTTTATTGTATTTAAATACCAAATTGTTATTAGTTTGATAAAATTTAATGATTGTGTTCGTTTTTTTAATTTTCATCAGCGATTATCGAATGGCATTAACTTGAAGTAAATGCAAATTAAAATACAAGAATTATTATTTGATAAACAAATACATCATTTCCTCATCAATTGTTACTTGATGACAACAGAAGTAGACATGTTTTTCTAGTGTGTCCTGGGTTTCTACAATAGCCACATCTTCTGTCTTGTCTAGATCTTTCTCGAATATCCATATCGCAATGAATTCGGTTGGATTTTGGACGACCACACTCCCTCAATAAACTCGGATTTGGTACAATCGGAAGTCAATCTTGAACCTCATCAGGGTCTTTGTCATTACCTATGGGGGGAAACTCAAATTCGTATACCTTAAAAACTTCAAATAGTAGGTATACAGGATCCACAAAATGGTTATAGTCTTGACGTGTATACAAGCAAGATGTTATCACATGAGAGCATGGATACTTCAGAGCTTGAAAAAACCCGCAGTCGCACGTTCTGTCCCTTAGATTTACTCTTAACGACACAGCTTCAATCCCTTGAAGAGGTCGCGGCAACTCTGTGACACGAAATATTTCATGCCTTCTAGAGAAGCTTGTTACAGACATTTCATTTGATGCAGCAATTTTTTTCTGTAGATCTGTAACTAATCTAGGGTGATAGACATGACCGCCTTGCATCCAGGTTTGAGCTTGTCCCCCGAGCTTCGCAAAAAGCGCCCCCAAACAAAAATATGTAGTTTTTACCAAAGCCGCTACAGGTAAGTGACGTGCACCCTTTAAGGTTGAATTAATTGCCTCAGCTAAGTTGGTCGTCATGTGTCCATATCGATATCCACCATCATATGCGTTCGTCCACATTTCTTTATCGATGAGGCTGATATAATCGTATCCTTCCTCGTTCTTCGTCCGTAAATCTTGAAGCATTGATTCAAATGTTCGAGGAAGTAATTCGTAACCTGATCAAAAAATGTATAACTTACTAACTTGCTTTCTTTGCAAAATTAAAATGATCAAAAAATGTATAACTTACTAACTTGCTTTCACTTACCCATGCGCACAATTAATTGACGCTCATCATTCTTCTTGTACCTTCCATGATAGTTCGCAGCAATGTGTCAGAGACAATACCTATGTTGGACAAATGGTGGTTGCCACATTGGACCCAAAGACTCCATTGTTGCTTTGATCCCAGCTCCGCGATCTGAAATGACACAAATTTTTTCCCTCGTGATAACATGTGCACGTAAATTTTAGAGGGAAAAAGCCCAATAATCTGTATCTTCTCCTTCGACAAGAGCAAAAACAACTGGAAGAATGTTGCGATTGCCATCTTGGACAACTGCCAATAATAAAACTTGCTTGTATTTTCCATACAAGAAAGTCTCGTCGATATGGACCACAGGCTTGCAGTATTTGGCAGCATTAACGCACTGTGGGTAACTCCAAAAAACCCGGTAGAATTTGCATCGATCATGAAGAACTCGATCATTATGGTATGTATAGGAGGTTTCGAAGTCCACAATTATCCCAGGATTCAACGTCCGCACCAGCCTAAACCAACCTGGAAGTTCGTTGTAAGATGCATCCCATTCGCCATGAAGTTTGACAATGACATTTTGTTTTGCCAACCAAGCTTTTTTTATAGGAGACGGTGTACCTATACTGCGATTGTATAGCTGAAATCAACACTGCAACAACTATATGAGAGCTTGCTTTTACCATGGGCATGATGACTTGGCATATCACTTCAGAGTCCAAGTTGGGATGATCTTGGTTGACCCCTCCAGCACAACATGTGTGAGGACCGTTGTATACTGTTAGTTCCCATATGTTGTTTTTCCTCTTTATTTTCGATACGCGAACCATCCAATTGTATCCGTTTTCGCGTCGGGTACAATAGCATACATATTTTTTTGTCGTGGATCGGTTGACTCTGGACTGAACAGAATTACGGATATTGTAATTTTTTATAGCCATCATCGCTTCTTCTTTGCTTGAAAACTCCATGCCTAAAGATAACTCACCATTATTTATTGATGAGTAATATCCATAGTCACCGAGATGAGGCATATCCGCAAATTTTGGCCCGTACATTGCACCATAATCAGCTTCATACATGTGTGCAGGAGGGTCAGTTTGTGCCACATTTCTTGGAACTTCATCATCATCGGAGTTGAATTGCAGTGATTCTGGTGGAGATGATGGTTCCTCCATGCTCTCCACATTTAGGTCGAAGAACCTACTACTTGCACGCCTTTCCCTTGAACTGGAAGGCATATCGACATTGAGATCGAAAAAGCTCGCAGTCGAATACCTCCCCCTGGAGCTTGAAGCCATCATGTCAAATGGAAATTGCACAGATGGTTGCGTCGATGGCATCTCCATATGGTCAAAGAAATTTGCAGATGAATGCCTTCCCCTTGAACTAGATGCGGTGTTGCCATACGGATAGTTCGTGGACCCACCTCGGTACATATCGTAAGGAGTTGCGGATGAATGTCTCCCCATTATGACATTAACATCATTACACATTACTGTAGTCGGGCTGTCAACTTGTTCAGCCAGCCCATAATGTGAGCTTAAAGATTGACCCCGAACAGCACACACTTGAACAAAATGTGCATACATCTCAATAGCGGCGTCTGAATAATTACTTTGAGCTTCAACCATCATTTGAACATCATCATTGTTCGAAAGTTCGAACGCTGTATAAGTTAATGGCAACAATGATGTTGGAAATCTGTATTGCAACGACGACATTCTTCTATTACTTCCAACATGAATCTTCCTCGAAATCTTCGTTATCAGCTCCTCAAGAGTTATGTTTCTCTTGAATGATATTTTAACACGCTCATTTGATACGAAAACAACGCCGGTTTCATCTTCTCGAATTTCACCATCATAATAAACAATAGCTGAAAGTCGCGCTGTTCTTTGAGTTTAAAAGTGCGGCAATATTATATCTTCCAAAAAAATAACTTAAAAAAACCTAATTAAATAAATTATATATAAACAAAAATATAACACAAAAAATATTTTACACATCAACGTAAATAATTTAAATAATATAATTTTATATTATTACCTGCACCGCAAAACTATTTCGACATATGCTCCCGCTTTTCAATTTTACAAACATAAAAATTAATTAAAAATAATTAGTATAATATTTTTTCAAATAATGATAATAAACAATAAATATAATTAAAAAATTATAACAAAATTACCTTATAACGAAAAATCGCACGAAGTTCTAAATCAAATATGAGAAGATTGCCAGAATTATTACTCGTTGACGGAATTGTTGTATTAATTTATAAGAGAGAAGAGATGTAGGAGATGTGAGGAGAGATGCGGTATTTATAAACATATAAGGCGCGGTACTGGCACCGCGTTATATGTAATTATTATATAGCGCGGATCAGGGACCGCGTTAAATATAATTTTGGTACGGCGTATAGCGCGGCCCCTGATCCGTGCTATACCCCTACGTGGCGTATAGCGCGGAGCAGGGGGCGAGCTATACCCACGTGTAACCAAGTCAGCGTATAGCGCAGTACAGGACGCACGTTATACTCCACGTGGCGCCAAATCAGCATATAGCGCGATTCAGGGGCGCACTTTACTGCTACGGGCGTTAGATCATAAAATATAATCTGACCGATATTAGATTGATAAATATACCGATCACCGATGATTTTTGGGAAAAATCGCCGAGAATCCGGGCCATTTTAAATATGAAAATAATCTAGGGTTTTTGACAGTTACAGATCGTCGTAAACGCACATGAAAACTACTTGTAGCTACTTTCGGTCTCCAAACGCAAATACATTGTCTTTAAGCTTCCTCCTTAATATACACAAGCTTTTGGTCTATTTTATTATCAGGAATATGGCCAATAGAATTTTGCTTTCTATTTGTCGTGTTTTTTTTTTTTGGCGGCTGGTGAGAGATCATGGTGATGGCCGAGAATGAAGCAGGGAGTGATCGTAAGGAGATCAAGTCACCGTGGAAGACTCCGGTGATTGACGCCCAGAAAGTGGCTGATGCTACTATTATGGGGACCGAATCTTGGCCTGATCTTGGAGGGACCCAACAAACACCCGACAAACCCTCCGTCGTTGCTGATGAATCTGCTAGAGCTCCATCAGTAGAGCAGGTTAGTTATTGTCCTTCTTTATTTTGGTTTTGGGTTTTTTATTTAATAGGTGATCAATCATATGAGTGTAAAATTTGGTTAATGTTAAAAACATTTAGGAGTAATCTGAGTTGGTTTACGAAAATTAATCTCAAATGGACGACTTGAGTATGTTGAGAACCGATGGTTTATTGCTTTTTTTGGTTTCTATTCTTTGATCATTCTGTGCTAGTAAAAATTTTCAGGAGAGAGTAAGCTCTATTGATCCCTTCCCATCTTAGAATATTATAATGATTATTGTAGTTTTTGTTTTGAAATAACAGGAAGAATTTAAACATAATATCAGATGAAAATTTGTAATTTACCTTAATGGAATGTAATTTCTCTATGAACCTCCCCCCCCCCCCCGCGTAATTTAACCATCTGTGAATCTGGGTCCTGTTGAGTGGGGATGTTTTTTTATTGTTGGTAATTTACTTTTCTTTGTTTCATCCTTTTGTATCTGTATCTTGAGAGTGCTAGTTTAAGGCATTTTTATGGTTTTAACATTATGAGTCAGGTTAAGAGAATGTGTACAGACATACAATTCATCTTTGATGCGCTGCTGGGTTATGGATGTAAAAAGGATAGGTCCGAGAGTTGTCATGAGATTTTTTTTTTTTTTTTGACAAATGAAACAAGTCATTCTTAGAGTAGTTTTTTTGTATTAGATACATTTTGTGATCAAAATTAGTTATTGTTCATATTTAAAATAATATTTTATAGTCAAGACTGTGAAACAAATGGAAGTTATAATTTTTTTAATTTAGAGACATCAAGGTGAAACAAAGATCATGCCAAGCTAGAGGCAGCAAACGGCTCATTCGGTCTAGATTGGGTTTGGGTTTGGGTCGGGTCATTTCGAGACGGAACAGATCTTGTTCGGATTTAGTTTGGGTATAAGGTAAATCGGGTCATATCGGATCAAATTTTTTGATGGGTCAGTTTTCCGGTCGGGTGATTATCGAATCAGTTTTTTTGGTTTGAATTAATATCGGATATGTTGACTTTTGGTTCGGGTCAATATCTTATCAATTAGAGTTTAGGTCGAGTCAATATCGGATCGGATGATTTTTGGATTGGGTCAATATCAGATTGGTTAGATTTTGGGTCGAGTCAATATCAAACTGTTGATTTTCGGTTTGAGTCAACCTTTGAATTAGGTCAATTCAAGTTGAATTTGTTATGAGTCTAATCAAGTATATATAGAATTATTGATATATTATTGTAAAAAAATATGTATTCTTGTTTGTTAATCTTATCGCTTAGGCTTAATTCGGTTATAAGTCTAATCAAGTATATAGATTTTCGATTTGGATTGCTTTCAGTTAGGATTAATTTCGGTTTGGATTACTTTCGGATCAGGTTAAATTCAATTTAGGTTAAATTCAATTCAGTTTGCTTTCGATTCAGGTTATTTTCGGTTCAGGTTAATTTCTGTTCGGGACAATTTCGGTTCAGGTCAAATTGGATATGGATCCATATTGGGTCAGCTAAAATTTTGGATCGAGTATGACTCTGGTCGGGTATGGTTTGGGTTTCAGATTAAATTTGATCATCATGTTCAGGTTAATATCAAGTATTGGATCCGATAAATCAATTCGGGTAATCAAGTTCGGACCAAGTTTACCAGAGAAAAGAGTAATAAAATTCATTAATAAACTATTCTTATGTTTAACATTTTATAAACAAGAATCACAAAATATTCACCAGATACTGTAGACACTCATTTTCGTCCATATTTTTAATTTTTATTTTATACATATATATCTATATATATATATATATATATATATATATATATATATATATTATAGTTTTTAAAAAAACGTTTTTTGAAATACATACAATATATAGATTTGAAAAATATTTTTCCAAAACTATATATTATATGGTTTTAAAACATTTATTTATTTATTTATTTATTATTACTATTATTATTAATTTATATATTACAATTATTTTGTAGGCCGATGTGGAACCCCCACCGTCTGATCTTCCCAAATGTTAATTTTGATAATTGTTCTTGGTTCCAGTTTCGAGTGTTCCCGAATCTTTTGCAATTCTTTTGTTGCATCCTTTTGGTGATGTACAATTCATCGATGTATGAACGGATGATTTGTTGGGTCGAAGGAGTGAATGTACAGCAGTTGAGGTGTTAATGGAGCACATGAGATGAAAACCAAGATAAGGACCAATGTGGCCACGTGAGTTTCCGAGTGGTGATGCCATGCATAAGGCACATGTGGAACCCTACACATCTTAACCGTTTCTCTTCGTGGGAAACTCGTTGCACCCATTATCTCCTCACCTGACATCTTTTGCTGAGGACGTGGGGTCTTATTTTTGGAATATAAACAAAATTCTGGAAGTGTTTCAAAGGGGGGAGCAATAACAAAGAAAAAAAGAATTGAAGAGAGAGAGGTGCTATGGCCTCTCATAGCACGAAACCATCCAGCAGTATACTCATGCCACCAGCTTCCTCAACCTTGTTAGCCTCCTCTGAGAAAATCTACATCCACGGCGTCAACGCCCTTAACCAACCCACACACCCCTCTCCTTCAGAAGACTAATCAAAGCCATGCCTTTCTCAAACCCAAAACCACCTTCCATTATGGAACCTCACCCATGCCCTTCTCCATCTCTTGTTCATCCACCATACAACCTTCCCTTCAATCCCAATCTCAAGAGCGGGTTTTTAATTTCGCCGCTGGTCCCGCCACCTTGCCCGAGAACGTCCTCCTCAAGGCCCACGCCGAGCTTTTCAATTGGCGCGGATCTGGAACAAGCGTCATCGAAATGAGCCACCGCGGGAAGGATTTCTGAGGCCGATCTATGTGCGCCTCTCGACATATCCGAAGACTCCGCCGTTTTGTTCCTCCAAGGTGGGGTGACAACCCAGTTCGATTCTGTCCCTTTGAATCTGTCAGCCTGATGACACCGTTGATAATCTTGTTACTGGTTCGTGGGGAGACAAGGCTTTCAAAGAAGCTAAGAAATACTGCAAACCCAAAGTTGTTTGGAATGGGAAATCGGAGAATTACGTGAAGGTTCCCTCGTTTGATGGGTTGGAACTAAGCCCGAATGCCAAGTATTTGCATATATATGCGCCAATGAGACTATTTATGGGGTCAAAGCATCAGAAAATTTGTATACACAGGAGTATAAAGGCGACACAAACACAAACAAAAAGGCAGGGAGGAAGAGAAGGAAAGACAGTCCATTCACCTGCACTCACGGGTTGCAAGGGTTTATGGTGTTTAATGCTGTCGGTGGTGGTACTGGATCTGGTCTGGGATCTTTGTTGGAGCGTCCGTCAGTTGATTATTGGAAAAATTTGAAGCTCGGGCTCAGTCTGCAAGAACTGCTATAAAAGTAAATGAGATGGTGGGAAATGTCTACACTAGTAGTGCTTTGTCTTTGAGAAGATGGAAGAGTAAGTTTTAGCAATGGAGTCTGACGTTGAAGCTCTTGGGCGGTTGTCCACCAATGATCTTGACGGGAAGGTATTGACTACCCTGCTTTTAGTTTTACAATCTTTCAATCCAATATACACTTTCCATGGCCAAATTTCCATTGTCGGATGTAATCATTTGCATTAATTGTTGGCAATGGCCATTATAGGGCCAATTTTAACAATGTTAATGGGTTTTTGTGGGCGTAACCATGAAATGCCAACTTAGCTTTTGGCTCGGTTATACTGAATTGAATTATTTTGAAATCGAAGCCTACTTTCTGAAATATTTTCTGTGAGTTTATCCAAGAATATGAAATATGGACCAAAGAACGCTCCTGCTCTATTGATTTACTTGTTGTCATTTGCTAACATCAGACTTTTTGAAATTCAACAGCGTTTTGGTGTTGTAAGTTCTATGAGTTCAGTTGTTTAAATGTATGATAGCCTAGAATACATTTTAACACTTGTAGTATTCCATGATCATAATTCCCAACAGGAAGGCCATTGGAACCAAATTGTTATTGTTGAACCGATAGTCTTCAAATTACTTACCCTTGTTGGACCACATTGTTAATAGTCTTCGTATTTATTTATTTGTTTATTTTGATTCTTAATCTAACATTCTTTTTGACTTTTTTTTTTCCAACTCAATCAAAGGTAAGTAATTTGAATTTAATTTTTAATTTTTAATTTAAATTTCAATTTTTCGCAACTAAGACAGTCGTTAAATTAATTGGTACCGAAAGGGCGGTGCAAGGGTGCTAATCCTTCCTTGACCGTAACCGACTCCCGAGCCCGACACATTTCTGGTAAAATGCAGATCAGGTAAGATGGTGTCCGATCTACCTAAATATCATTTTAAAATGATCGGTGGCGACTCTAACCCAATTCATCAATCCAAGTCGAAGCCCAATTCCGGTTGTCAACCGAAAGACGGTTCCGACAGCTTGGCGACTCTGCTGGGGACAGGTAAGTGAGTCAGGCCAGAATTAACTTTCGGTTGTCTTTTTAGGCGAAAATGGTAAATTTAAATTTTAATTTATTTATTCGATTCCAATTATTTACCTTTGATTATTTTTTTCAAATAAATAGTTGTACTGACATTTTTTTCAATGGTTTCAGATTTTTGAAAAGTTTCTATCGTTGGCTCTATACCCGAGCTCCAAACCCTTTTAAGTGGGGGCGAAAGCGACGCCTTCGTGTGAATTTATTCACCGTATGGGCCTAGCAAGTAACCTTCGGGATTCATATACCTTATGTCTTCGTGTGAATTTATTCTCCATATGGGCATAAGGGAATGTTTCCTCTCGAGTTTAACTTAGTCTACATAAGCGTGTAATGGGCTTAGGACTAAGGGTCTGGCAAGCCCAAGGGGGCACCGGCAAGGAGAACTCGAGTACCGTTTTTTTAGAACCTAAACCGGGAGAGTGCAGGGAATTAGAGCCCACCCCAAAACCTCATTCCAAACCTTAGGCTATTTTATTTCCTACTTTATTTTCTGCTCAAAAGCATGTGAACTAGACAAATATGCGGTTGGGATTTGTTTGAAATTAGCATGCGGGATAGAGATCATGTCCGGGTAGGAATTAAAGCATGTGGGGTAGATATCATGTGGGGTAGGATTTTTTCATTTTTATTATTGTTTTGATTTACCTCACTAACTCTTTTATTTTTTGTTTTCTTTTATTCTGTTTTCATCATTCGCATCATTTAAAACGGGGTGTTGATCCACCAAAAATGTGTTTGTTAAACATGAATAATCAGCATTAATGGACAAAAGGGTTGTAATACAAGAGATGAAAATGCAGAAGACAGTCTACAAGGCGACTATGTGTCACCTTCAATCCAGAGGATGTGGTGCCCACAATTGAAGGGTATATCATCATACTGCATTATAAAGGACTCAATGAACCGGGTCTACATCAAGCGCAATGAAAGTCCATCTTTGAAGAATTGACTGCCAAAGGTTGCAGAGCAAAACGAGGAAAAGGTTACAGACCCGGACGCTCCTTTCAAAAACTACGAGAACAAGACAGCGAAACCCTAGCTGAGCTGAATGTCATTGCTGACGAATTCAAGAAGAAAACTTTGATAGAGGGTTCCAATGGTGTTGCTGCTAAGGAACAGACTCGGCAGGGAGTGAAAGTCGGAGATGCAGTCCTTCGAGACCTTTTTTGGGGCAAGCAGCTCGCTATTTGCACATTTTAGCCAAAGGAGCCGGAACGGTTTGACAGGGTATTCAACCGGTGACAGACGAAGGCAGAAGACTAGTCAACCTATCAGAAGCTGTTCGGGGTCTATGCCTTCAAGATATTTTTGTCTCTTAAGACGTAACACTTTTGTCCCAATAAGGATTATTTATAATAACAGATACATTTTTTTGGATCAATGCCTCGAACATTTCATGCATCATGCATTCCGACATATTGTGCATTTTGTTATTTTTCTTTACATTCGCATTATTTTTTCCCTTTTTTTATTACATTCACATGTCTCATAAAAAATGAGAACATTTCGATCCTATGACATATAAGGAGCTTTACCAACAGTTGTTTGACGACACGTGGTGTCACCATATCCAGAAAAATCCATGAAGCCCCGTACCCCAAGTAGTATGATGAGAACACTCATTGCAAAAATCATAGCGGAGTCTCAGGGCGCACTATCGAGAATTACTCCACAATCAAGAGAATCATACAGAAAATACGTTACAAGAATCGGATCGACTTCAACAACTTGGGGGTATCCAAGTGGAGAAGATCATTTCATCATTTGAGGTATTCTGTTTGAATCTGTTTTTTCATTATTTCTCAAGTTTTTGTAAGGACTTTTAAATAAATTTATGTTGCTTTAATAGACTTCAACAACTTGGGGGCATCCAAGTGGAGAAGATCATTTCATCATTTGAGACATTCTGTTTGAATCTGTTTTTTCATTATTTCTCAAGTTTTTGTAAGGACTTTTAAATAAATTTATGTTGCTTTAATGATGGCGAGCAATGAATCACATTTGCAAACTTGCAATTCTTTGAATATCATCTGAATTAAGAAACTCTATAAATGGTTCAAAGTTACAGATCTTTGACAAGTAACATAATCTGAAATAAGGACTTTAACCTTACCCAGAATATACACTCAAACACCATACCATGCTCTTGCAATTAACCAATGTAACCTTTTCCTTTCATAAGGTGCGAACAACATGGGGCATCATTTGCATATGACCATTACTATGCTTTTTATTTAGGACGTTCAGTGATGATAATGATCTTCACAGATGGAATAGTCGAGTAAATGAATCTAGTTTAGGGCAGTTGCTTGAAAATTGAACTCTAAAGATGAAATTTTTTACTTTCAACAAACACCTAGACTATAATAGGTTCTTCTTGACAATCTTAGGAAATTAAATCCGTAAAAACTGAGCTATTCCGCTAAGGCAATTGGTTATAAAGGAAACTTGAAAGCCCTGGCCTTATGAGTAGATTACGTTCAAACCATGACATTGCTCGGACACTTGGCAATTCGGTGTTTGCTCCACTGCTCGTGTCAGGCTGAAGACTCTGTGATGAGATGAACCCTTCAGTTAACTTGATAACTGTGATTATAATATTAAGTTGTCCCTCTAAAGCAATTGGTTAAACGCCCTGGCTTTATGGATTCAACTAGCCAGATAATGACAAGTTAAATCAAATTTATCTAAGCAAGAAATTTTCGGTAAAATGGACTAAGGGAGTTAAGAAACACCTGTTATAGTCAACTACACACGAGCACTCAAGAATTTCGTTTTTAGACCGATGTTTTTGCACTGCCTTTGTTAGAGGAGCCTACAAGGCTTGAACAAATAGAAGATTTCAGAGGACTGAAATAAAAGGTCTAGTAAGTGATCATGCTAGTTGCGTCTTTTTGTCCGCACCCAATTGAAGTGCCAAAGCATGTTGCGATATTTAAAAAAAATGACATTTTTTTTCCAAAACCTTAGAAAGGAGGTCAAGCTAAAGCCAACCCATCCATTTGAACATTTGTCAAAGAGCTGTAACTCTGAAAACGTTAAAAGAGCTATTGATTCCTTTGATATTCTTTGAACTCACGTTTATAACTTGATTCAATTGCGAATAATATTTTACAGCATTTTTATCATTTTCTCTCCTGAAACAAGAAAAATGAGAAAAACATTTTCAAACAGAATAATCTCAGATATGAAATGTCTGTAAAGCCCAAGCTCGAGAAGCAAATGGGACACGATCGATTCCATGGACCAGATTGGTAGACAAAGCACGAAGAGATAACACATAATTCATTCATGTTGCATGCATCTTAGACATACTTAGGTGCATCACATTCCTCATTTTAGCATACATGATTTTGCAGCTTTTAGAGTCAAGGATACTTGATTCGTAAGCGTCTTTAAAGAACGATGGTGGTTGCTTAGCTCGGCAGCAAGAAGCTACACTTCGACCAACTCGACAGATTGAAAATTTTCTCTCAAACTCACAATTTGCTCGAGAGTAAATTTCAACTTCACAACGAAGGATATTGGACTCCAGACAATGCAAGTTCAACTTCACGACGAAGGGACCGCTGGTTGTCAACAAACATTTCTCAATTTCAGAGCCAATTTCAACTTCACAACGAAGGATATTGGACTCCAGACAACTCAAGTTCAACTTCACGACGAAGGGACCGCTGGTTGTCAATAAACATTTCTCAATTTCAGAGCCAATTTCAACTTCACAACGAAGGATTTTGGACTCCAGACAACGCAAGTTCAACTTCACGACGAAGGGACCGCTGGTTGTCAACAAATAATTTCCTAATTTCAGAGCCAATTTCAACTTCACAACGAAGGATATTGGACTCCAGACAACGCAAGTTCAACTTCACGACGAAGGGACCGCTGGTTGTCAACAAATAATTTCCTAATTTCAGAGCCAATTTCAACTTCACAGCGAAGGGTATTGGACTCCAGACAACGCAAGTTCATCTTCACGACGAAGGGACCGCTGGTTGTCAATAAAAAATTCCCAATTTCAGAGCCAATTTCAACTTCACAGCGAAGGATATTGGACTCCAGACAACGCAAGTTCAACTTCACGACGAAGGGACCGCTGGTTGTCAATAAACAATTTCCCAATTTCAACTTCACAACGAAGGATATTGGACTCCAGACAACGCAAGTTCATCTTCACGACGAAGTGACCGCTGGTTGTCAATAAACCTTTCCCAATTTCAACTTCACAACGAAGAATATTGGACTCCAGACAACGCAAGTTCAACTTCACGACGAAGGGACCGTTGGTTGTCAATAAACAATTTCCACGGTTTCAACTTCACGACGAAGGGAATCGTGCCAACCAAAGACCTTCGAGTTCGACTACGCTCAGCTCCAAGGCACATCATTTACAGCATAGCTTAAGTCGAGAAGGGTTATCTGTCAAACAAAGACCTTCAAGTTCGATTACAATCAGCTCAGAGGCAAACCAGATTTACAGCATAGCTTAATGCAAGAAGGGTTATTTGTCAAAAAAAAATTGTCGAGTTCGGTTCCATTCAGCTCGATGACACCTCAATCACACTACTGTCCGGTTACAATCGAGGTTTTCAAGACGAGAAGAAGACCCAGGTTAACCGTGTCTCAGTAACAAAAAAACATTTCCCGACAACATTGCTATCTGTCAACGAAGACTTTTTCGAGTTCGATTTCATTCAGCTCGAAGGCCTATCAACCGCACGGAGGAGTCAAAGAACTATTTTCCAATCGAATTTTCCCAAACAAGGTCTTTAAACCGAGAAGAAGACCGAAAGACAACGAGAAGTCGCATCCCGATTCAAATCTCGAACTGCGACTTCAATTCTATATCATTTCAAGATGGACTCGACTTCGCGACGGAGGAGCCATCCGGAACTCAATTCCACAAGTTATTCTTTAACTCCACCGAACGAAAATTTGTGTCTTTTTATCTTTGTCCTATTTTTCGTTTCACGAAAAAGAACAAAGAGGGGCAGCTGTAGACACTCATTTTCGTCCATATTTTTAATTTTTATTTTATACATATATATATCTATATATATATATATTATAGCTTTTAAAAAAACGTTTTTTGAAATACATACAATATATAGATTTGAAAAATATTTTTCCAAAACTATATATTATATGGTTTTAAAACATTTATTTATTTATTTATTTATTATTACTATTATTATTAATTTATATATTACAATTATTTTGTAGGCCGATGTGGAACCCCCACCGTCTGATCTTCCCAAATGTTAATTTTGATAATTGTTCTTGGTTCCAGTTTCGAGTGTTCCCGAATCTTTTGCAATTCTTTTGTTGCATCCTTTTGGTGATGTACAATTCATCGATGTATGAACGGATGATTTGTTGGGTCGAAGGAGTGAATGTACAGCAGTTGAGGTGTTAATGGAGCACGTGAGATGAAAACCAAGATAAGGACCAATGTGGCCACGTGAGTTTCCGAGTGGTGATGCCATGCATAAGGCACATGTGGAACCCTACACATCTTAACCGTTTCTCTTCGTGGGAAACTCGTTGCACCCATTATCTCCTCACCTGACATCTTTTGCTGAGGACGTGGGGTCTTATTTTTGGAATATAAACAAAATTCTGGAAGTGTTTCAAAGGGGGGGAGCAATAACAAAGAAAAAAAGAATTGAAGAGAGAGAGGTGCTATGGCCTCTCATAGCACGAAACCATCCAGCAGTATACTCATGCCACCAGCTTCCTCAACCTTGTTAGCCTCCTCTGAGAAAATCTACATCCACGGCGTCAACGCCCTTAACCAACCCACACACCCCTCTCCTTCAGAAGACTAATCAAAGCCATGCCTTTCTCAAACCCAAAACCACCTTCCATTATGGAACCTCACCCATGCCCTTCTCCATCTCTTGTTCATCCACCATACAACCTTCCCTTCAATCCCAATCTCAAGAGCGGGTTTTTAATTTCGCCGCTGGTCCCGCCACCTTGCCCGAGAACGTCCTCCTCAAGGCCCACGCCGAGCTTTTCAATTGGCGCGGATCTGGAACAAGCGTCATCGAAATGAGCCACCGCGGGAAGGATTTCCGAGGCCGATCTATGTGCGCCTCTCGACATATCCGAAGACTCCGCCGTTTTGTTCCTCCAAGGTGGGGCGACAACCCAGTTCGATTCTGTCCCTTTGAATCTGTCAGCCTGATGACACCGTTGATAATCTTGTTACTGGTTCGTGGGGAGACAAGGCTTTCAAAGAAGCTAAGAAATAATGCAAACCCAAAGTTGTTTGGAATGGGAAATCGGAGAATTACGTGAAGGTTCCCTCGTTTGATGGGTTGGAACTAAGCCCGAATGCCAAGTATTTGCATATATATGCGCCAATGAGACTATTTATGGGGTCAAAGCATCAGAAAATCTGTATGCACAGGAGTATAAAGGCGACACAAACACAAACAAAAAGGCAGGGAGGAAGAGAAGGAAAGACAGTCCATTCACCTGCACTCACGGGTTGCAAGGGTTTATGGTGTTTAATGCTGTCGGTGGTGGTACTGGATCTGGTCTGGGATCTTTGTTGGAGCGTCCGTCAGTTGATTATTGGAAAAATTTGAAGCTCGGGCTCAGTCTGCAAGAACTGCTACAAAAGTAAATGAGATGGTGGGAAATGTCTACACTAGTAGTGCTTTGTCTTTGAGAAGATGGAAGAGTAAGTTTTAGCAATGGAGTCTGACGTTGAAGCTCTTGGGCGGTTGTCCACCAATGATCTTGACGGGAAGGTATTGACTACCCTGCTTTTAGTTTTACAATCTTTCAATCCAATATACACTTTCCATGGCCAAATTTCCATTGTCGGATGTAATCATTTGCATTAATTGTTGGCAATGGCCATTATAGGGCCAATTTTAACAATGTTAATGGGTTTTTGTGGGCGTAACCATGAAATGCCAACTTAGCTTTTGGCTCGGTTATACTGAATTGAATTATTTTGAAATCGAAGCGTACTTTCTGAAATATTTTCTGTGAGTTTATCCAAGAATATGAAATATGGACCAAAGAACGCTCCTGCTCTATTGATTTACTTGTTGTCATTTGCTAACATCAGACTTTTTGAAATTCAACAGCGTTTTGGTGTTGTAAGTTCTATGAGTTCAGTTGTTTAAATGTATGATAGCCTAGAATACATTTTAACACTTGTAGTATTCCATGATTATAATTCCCAACAGGAAGGCCATTGGAACCAAATTGTTATTGTTGAACCGATAGTCTTCAAATTACTTACCCTTGTTGGACCACATTGTTAATAGTCTTCGTATTTATTTATTTGTTTATTTTGATTCTTAATCTAACATTCTTTTTGACTTTTTTTTTTCCAACTCAATCAAAGGTAAGTAATTTGAATTTAATTTTTAATTTTTAATTTAAATTTCAATTTTTCGCAACTAAGACAGTCGTTAAATTAATTGGTACCGAAAGGGCGGTGCAAGGGTGCTAATCCTTCCTTGACCGTAACCGACTCTCGAGCCCGACACATTTCTGGTAAAATGCAGATCAGGTAAGATGGTGTCCGATCTACCTAAATATCATTTTAAAATGATCGGTGGCGACTCTAACCCAATTCATCAATCCAAGTCGAAGCCCAATTCCGGTTGTCAACCGAAAGACGGTTCCGACAGATACTAGTGTGATTATTGGACCATGAAAATTTTATTAGCTTTGATAGTTGGTCTGGCCATGCCAAAATGTGCTCTGCTTATAACCGTCAATTAATTTCTTGAGAGTTCTGTGATAATATTTATGAATGCAAATGTGAAATGCATGCGTTCGTGATTTTCTTTAGCCTTAGATATCACCAATTGCAATTGAGTGTCAAGCTTTTGGAAGAGCTGTTAAACAAAATGAAGGGATTTCTCATAAAGTCAACCTGCCTGGTGCTGCTGATGGTAACAGTAGAAAAAACAGAGAGCAGGGAGCCAGTTCTACATAGGGTTGGAGGTGGAAGGTTTTCTTGGAAGCCAAATGTTAACTTCACGGATTGGGCAATTCATGAGCAATTCTTTGTTGGTGATTGGCTTTGTGAGTTTTCTCTTTAGAACACTTGATCAGTGCCCTGTTAGAACCTTTGTTGCAATTGGAAATTTTGAAAATTGATTTGTTTTCTAGGTAGATTTTGGATTCAACAAGCAGTTATACAGCGTCCTACAAGTGAACCAGACAAGTTATGACAATTGCATCGAACAAGATTCCATCAAGAACATAACAAAGGGAGGAAGGGATGTGTTTAATCTCACAGAAGCAAAACCATATTACTTCATAAGCGGCGGAGGCCACTGTTCGATGGGAGGAATGAAAGTTGCCCTCATCGTCCAAGACTACATTTCTGTACCATCACCTCTTACAAATGCTTCCTTCCCTATTACTGTCAGCTCTGCTTCAGAATTCCCTGAAAAACTGTATCACTTTGTTTTGGCTGCAGTGTTTCTTGCATGCGTAATGCTATGATAAAAAAGCAGTTGCTTTGACATTGTCATGGATTTACTTTACAAGCGATATCAAAACAAGGATTTAAAATCTTACTTACAATAATAAAAAATATTTAAGAAATAAAGATTAGAAAATTAAACAAAAGGGTACAAGTTAATCATTTTAACTGATAAATCTTAAACAAGACAGCCATAAGACACTAGATAAGTGGGCCTTGGTTAGTCAACAAAAACCATTTCATGTTGAGATAAGGCACTAGAAACAACATCCAAAAGCACAGGCCTAGTTGAAAAATAACTTAAAACGTCTTAGGATGGGTATATCCAGAAGCCTGTACAAAATGATGGGAGCCGAGGTTCTTTCTCAGCAGAAGAACATGAAGCTGCTGACATTTCCATGCAATCCGGTAAGTTGGGGGATGACAATGGCTCCAGTAGCAGTCACACTGCCAGGGCTCGAAGATGTCTCTGAAGCATCCTCCAACTTCATGAATTGCCCCAACTGAGAAGCTGCCGAGTGAGCGTAGCAAATAGGAGCAACTGCACCAAATGGATGTACATGGTCGGATTAGAAACAACTACTTTTTATGAATCGGAATTACAAAATCAAGCGAATAGCAAGATTTCGGCAGAGTTATTTACATTGACGATAGTAAATAGTTTCAAGAGTGGGAGAAGCGAAAGAGTCTCAAGTGCAACTTTCCACCGGCGACGCTACAGGAGGCAACGTGAGATCTTCGACCGGCAACGAATGGATAGCTTTCGTCGACAACTTAAGCAAACGAGTATCTAGATGAGCATTATGGGAGTTGTTCAGCCATCATGGAAGGGTTATCAAGGTGTTCATTCCTCACATCAATAGAAGACCGAAATACAAGTTTTTGACCTTTGAGTTCATTCACTTCGCGAATCAAAACGATCAACAAAATGCCATTGATAAGGTCAACGACACTCAGATTGACGAAAGGAAGGTAATGGTGCAAAAAGCTAGATATCAGAGGACTAACAAAAACCAGCAGAAGATGTCGTTCAAGGAAGGGTGAGCAGAAAACAGGTCTTGGAGCCCAGGCTCCAGCAAGAGTTTTCTCTCAGTTGAGAGATGGCAGGTCATATAAGGGAGGCAATAGAAAATAACATTCAGAACAGCTTACCTAATGACAAGCAAGAGTCTAAGGAAGAACTTATTGGCGAAGAGCAGGGGAAAAGGGACTCGATGAACCTTCCCGTTCCAGCGAAAGAAACTGAATGGAACCTTCCCGTTCCAAGTATTTGGAGTAAAAATCATAACTTTAACCAAGTACACATCAGCATTACCTGGATTAAGCGAAAAAATATCGAAAAGTCACTACCTTTAGCACATCAAGAGCCAGCCAGACAGTATAGACTAACAATTGCAAACGAAAAGTGAATGTAGATAGTAAAACCATGCAAACGAAGCTAAAAAAAATAGATGAAATAAAAATATGAACTTTTACAAACGTAGAACAAAACTCATAAGGATGACAAAAAACACCTATTTTAACCTTTAAAAACAAGTAAACAAATAAAATAAGATATCAAGGTCTACTAAAGTAAACAATATTACGTTGAGCTAACCTTTTTATTAATTATTTTCCGCGCGTCTCTTGTATACTCAATGGGAAATCATGTATAATTTTTTGTTAATATAGGACGATTATAAATAGTAATATATATTTTAAAGAATTTTAATTATTTAACGATGAATATTTAAATATTTTATAATTATTAGTGTTCAAACATATAACTTTTAGGATAATTATTATTTTCTTAACCATTGAAGTAATTTGATTTGTGTAATAATATACAGATCTTTTAAGATAGCGGTCAAGCTTATACAAATTGAAATTAATTATAATGAGTCTATCAAAAACGTGGATTTAGACTAAACTATTACGTTAGATTGAAAATCACGTCTTTGATTTTATCTTGATAATTGATGGGATTGCTTGCATACGATTACGGGGTAAAAGAGGAAAAAGTAGTGTGGAGACTGTGTAGTGGTGATAAAGGAATTTAAATATTTTGAATCCAAGGTATTTCATACGTGTGTGACAAATTTTGGTGGAAGTGATATCATACTTTTATATGTTAAAAAATTAAATATGAATAATTATTTTATGCTAATCGCCATAAACTTGGTAGAAGATTGATTCTTATAATGATTTTAAATATTTTATACTTTTATATGTTAAAATTTAAATATGAATAATTTAATACATATCAATAATAGAATAAAATACATGTCTAATTGATAGGTTTTTCTTTAAATTATATTATTTATTTTAGTATCTATTTTTATATTAAAAATGTTAATTTATATTTTCAAAAATTAAAAAATTTATAATTATTTTAGTATCTATTTTTCTTCTAGTGATGTCTCAAACCATGATTTGTGTGGAACGATTCCTACCAATGGATCATTTGAGCACGTTCCTTTGAATAACTAAGCTTACCCTCATTTCTTCCCACTCTTTATTCATTTTAAATCGGGTTATATGTCATCGTCATCGGTTATATTAATAACATATATTATTTAAGGTAAATTAGGAATTTAGTATTTAAAATTATTAGTTTTGATTTATTTTAGTACTTAAATTTTTTATTTTAAAATTATACCTAACGTTTAGTTTTTATTTCATTTTAGTACCTCACCGTTAAAAACTTGACATGTTTAGTACATAAACTTTCAATTTTTCCAAAACTTAAAGTTAAATTTTGAACGGGATACTAAGATGAAACAAAAACTAAAGTTTCTAACGGTGGAGTACTAAAATAAAACAAAAACTAAATTTTAGGTATGATTTTAAAAAATTAAAAGTTTAGATGTAAAACATATTAAAATTGATAGTTTAAATAATAAACGCGTAATTTATCTTAATATTCATACGAGATAAGAAAAAAATAAAATTTTAGATGAATATGATAAAAATAATTAATTAACTGAAAAATTTTAAGTTTAAATGTGAGCACGTACTTAATTTAAGCCTGTTATATATGCCACTGTCAGTTACTACCGTATTGATTTAAGCTGGTCTGGATAATCTGAGGCATATATATCTAGACTCCGCAGGGCTGTACGTGCCATTCAAATTCAATGCCCAATAACATCAAATCCTAGTTGATTACGTGTGTATATATATAATAATATAATTTAAAGCTGTCATATCAATTTTCGTTCTACTAAATTTTAATATCTATGGCGACGTTAGATTTATAGCTTTCACAATGGTTTCATTGCAAGTATGATATAACAATCCGATGTAGGCTTATGTTGAAATGAACTAATTATTCATAGTTTTCTATGAGGTTAAATTCTTTATAATCTATGTCACTATGTGGTTCCAAGTACGAGCTATTGATTTAAATCAAATTAAACGCAAAAAATATTTAATCGGACATTATGTTGTAATTAAACATCGATAATGGAGTTGCTTGTGTTGATGGATCTTATCGACTGATAACCGTCGTTTTGTTATCAAAATAATTTCAGCTTTTTAAATAGAAAAGAAAAGATAGTATAAAGAAGCATGGTCGATCCATAGGGACTGTGGTGTTTCTGATTTAGTAAAAGTGTTTCTTGATTTTAGGAAAATATAGAATTCCAGGTAAAGTTAAAAAGATTTAATTAAAAAAATAAATAATAATAAATAAAAGAGAAATAATAAAATAATAAATAGTAATAGTAATAAATAAAAAAGGGGTTTTAAATTGTTTAAAGAAGTATACTCAAATAAAAATTAAATAAACAAGTAAATAAAATAGCTAAATTGAGATAAAGAAAACTTATTGTGAAAGCAGCCTCACACTTCAGCTTTGCCTTAAATTTCTCAGATCATCGAAACAGATTTTTACTTCAAGATTCAGGTCAACTTACAAGGACAATTCTTTGTTGCCCACTCGGATTGTGTCGTTTCAACAATAACTGATTTTGATCTCTGTTTTCTCTTAGTAAACAATTTTGCTAAGTGTGTTCTCGGGAAGTTGAATATGCTTCAATAAGCAAATCATTCTACGAACATTAACCATAACAATATCCGGACCAATGTCGAAATTGTATTGATTTGAAAAGTAAGCTCAGAAAATATAGAGAAAATCCGAAGCGATTTAAGTACCTTATAATTCTCGCGTTTGGAATTAAGCCTTCGCTTTAGCCTTCAGCTTAAAAGAAAATTAGCTAAGCATGACCAAAGTCATATTTAGCATAATTGAAAAATATACGAAAAATATAGAGAAATCTAGAGAGAAAAAAGAAGATTTTATTCTCAGATGAGATAGATATGTTTATAGGCTTACCCTGAAAGGGTATTTATAATCTTCAATTTCCTAAAAGCAAGCTAAAACATCTTAAATCTTAATTAAATTACTAAAACATATTTAAACTAAAATACCTAAAACAAAGATAAAATATAAAAATAATATTCTAAAACTTAATTAAAATACTAAAACATATTTAAAATAAAATACCTAAAACAAAAATAAAATAAAATATTTAAAATATTATCCTAAAACTTGAGTTTAATTCAAATCTGAATTCGAGAAACGTGTGGCCAATTCATTCGTTCTTCTATAAACGCTGACTGTATCTTCTAGAATGTGCTTACGTCATCACCTCGTCGGATGTTTCATGCCCGAATTCATGTCCACTAGTTCAGCTTCGATCCGAAAATAAAAAAAATATAGAATTTCGTACTTTTAGTGCAATTTCCAGAATCTAAAATCCTGCACAGAAAATGAATGAAACGAATATTTAAGCCACAAAAACCAATGATTAAGGAATAATGTAAAAGTAAAATATTGACTAAATTAAGCACTTATCAAATTCTCTCTCACTTATTCGATGATTGTCCTCAAGATTCATCAATTAACATATCAAAATCATAAGTTGTCATCTTAAATTTCATATTATCTCTCAAACTTCCAATCAAACTAAGTCCGTGATATTTGTCGAATTTAAGTAAAAATCAAGCAAATATACAACCAAGAAAATTTAAAGTAAGC